TCAATAAATATACCTTAATTTGATATGTTCTAGTGAACTTTCAGATATTAGAATATCAATTGTTTGATCGGTATAGAAAAAAAGAGTGATAGATTAAGATATTTATCCTTATATCAACATTCAAAGAAAAATAATATATATTTACAATGTAAATTCGGTAAAATTCAATAGAATTTCAATACTGTTTTCTTATCATTACTCTATGAGAGATTATCACGCGTATCATTCTTTTCCTAATCTTTCATAAAGATGATAGAATGTAAAAGAATTCTGTCTGATATAACACCGAATAAAAAAATTCTTTAATTTTTGTTTAAACATTACTTCGGTTAACATGAAGTGTTTAGTAAGTCTACTTCATGTTTATATTGCATAGAGAGATTCTGATAAAACTAGAGCAATATAATATAAAGTAATATTGAATAATTCGATATAATTCATGACGAACTTTCTTTTAGAATTCAAAATATGCGAGAAAAAGAAGCAAGATAGATAATAAAAATATTTTTTTCTGATAAAATTGTTCATTACTCAATATCTTGTGTTAATATTAGTGCTAAAACTTTACTGATAGACAAACAAATATGACTAACATCTGTTAGATAACAATTTGATATATTAATTAAAATATTAAAACAGATTTTCGAGGGTGTTCATGTGGATCTTTTCTCTTGAATCACATCCACATCTTCATGTTATTACCTCTTCCAAGGGAAAGTTTTAAAAAGATGAAAACAATTTAGAAAATTTTATTTTAATTTTCTAATATTTTGATAATTATTTCAAATAAGAAATAAACCAATTGCATAAAATTTCAACGAAACATTATTTCTTGTTTTTTTTTATTATTTCGTTGAGATACTAGATATGAAAGAATAGGATCAATATAAATTTAATAATAGCTACTTGAAATAAATCTGAATGCTAAATGAATTTTACTACTATGTTCAATAATTCAACAAATATTAAAGAAAGTTCAAAATCAAACACAACAGCAAATCTTCATATTGATGAAGATTGGACTGATAACGCAATACAAACTAAAAGCGAAGGTTGAAATGAAATTATCATTTGATATTGTATATTTATATTCATTAAAATTATTTTATCCAGTAGTTTGGATTAAAATTAGAAGAATTGCTTATCGTTTAATAGTACAGGAAAATTTTCGTTCAATGTTATTATCTGTTTCAACATTTCATTGTGAATTACTTCAAGTTATTCTCGAAACTGAACAATTAATCGAAGGATTTAAAGAATATACATTGTTGGTTTTTACAAATCTCAATAGTAAAAAAAAATACTAAAAACGATGATTTGAATTAGTTGCTTACAATTACAATTAATACATAAAATCATGATATTAAAATGTCCACTTGATTAAACATTTAAATTAAAAGATTAGAAAACTGCAACAAGTTTATCCATTTGAAAAGTGTTAAAAATAAATAATTTTCTCTATTACTTTATGTAGATAGAAAAAAAAATATCAAGTGTTTGTGAAGAGAAATTCTATTGATGAATATCCATTCAATTATAGTGAATATAATCTATTTGATATTTGTATTACATCGTATGTCGAGTTCGCTCAAGTTTGTAGAAAAGTTTTTCGATCGCGTAACGGTGCTACATAAGACGACCCTCATCGTGTAATGTTCATCATTAATCCTTGATTTTCTGCGAAGGTGTTAGTCGAAATACAATTCCAAAAATATGTACTTCGTAGAGCTTTTCACAAGCTTCACAATGGTAAAAATATTTCTCCTATCTAATCTTCCTGAGGGAAAAAATGCCAAAAAACAAATGTAACGGTGTGACACAGTTTTTTGTCAGCCATTTTTGGAACACTTAACATGATCAAGATGATTTTATTTTTTGAAGGGTGAGCCCTTATGTATAACTAAGTGTTCTATAAAAAAATCAGATCGATCCATCGAAATGGGAGCTCAAAATCTGAGCGGAAATCGGGAAACCATACACAACGCTGTAAAGCATCTCCAGTTATCAAAGTAAAAACCAAATAGCCCATTTTGTAGAGAGTGAAATTCTGCATCGAATGGTATATCTCAACACATTTTCTGAAAAATTTTATTGGTTAGAAAACTCAAAATGCGATTTTTGAAAAGACTAATACTTGATTTTGGATGAGAAAATCTGATTCTTTTACAAAACGGATGTCAGATTCATAATCAGCGTTCAAAACTGCACAACTAGAGGCCTATTCAAATTTGTTGAACTCGAAAAAATGTTCGAAACTTGATCAGTGAAATGTCAGTTTACGCTCCCCATCCCCGAGACTCGCGATCATTGCGCAACGAACTGTATGGCTTGCCCCCTGGAAAAAAATTTTCACCCTCCCGACATTTCAAATTGCCCTGCCCCTGGAGAAAAAACTTGGATAAAACAGTGATCATATTATTTGAACTTTGGAAACTCTTCCAAATAAAATTGCATGTTTACAAAAACGATGTCAACACAATTTTGAATATTCATTACTTGATGAAAATAATTTTCATTGTAGTAGAATATTTTAAAATATGAATATTCAACTGCGACCAAGTTTAAGAAATATGTGTTTTATCATGTGGAACTGGAAAATCTTTAATTAGTTTTATAGCTACTTGTAAAATAAATTAAGAAATCTAATTGGATAGAATTACAAAATTTAGATCATGTTGCTACAGTTAATTCAATATGATATTCTGAACAACGTGATAATAAACTAATTCATTCTTTTATGATATTATATTCGTCGCAAAAGCTTTTGCAAATATTACATGATCTTCAATATGATACAGATATAAAAACAATTATTCTTTCTCAAGTTTCTGATATGCTAAATAAAACAAATAAGTTGATCCAAAGTAATGTGTTAACATTTTCGAAATGATTTAATTTCAGAGGGTGCCTATCAACTATAAGAATTCTTATAGTTTTACTTTATAAAGTTTACTAAGTTATTTGATGTTTTTTTTTTTAAATGAATTCTTTTAAAAACATCTGACAATATATTATATATATTCATAACAAGTAGAGTTTGTGAGTTTCACATTTTAGCTCCTCTAGGGGCTACACTGACAAGTTTTTTTTTTTATCGCAAATACTGTTGACAAAGTGACATCAAGGAAAAAAAATGGACTACCATTCTTTTTCTTTTCGAATGACTTATACAACTTACTTGAAAAGCTTGGTGTTTTTTTTTTCTTTCTGCAACATTTTTATTGAGTATGACGTTGAATATGCTGTTTGTTGGGTTTAACCACGCAAAAGAAAATGATTCACAAATGATGTATATCAACACACAGTGATGATTCGTTTTGTAGACGGTTCTTGAATAATAACTATTTACACAATGACAAAATGAAAATTTATCTGATGTATTTCGTAGCTTGATTGCATTATGATAAGAATATTTATTTATAATAAGAAAGCGAGAATAGAAATAAACTAGATGATTCATAATATTAGACAATATAATTTCATTGAAATGTAAAGATTTGTTGATGTAGATCAATATATCGATTTTATTACAGTAATAAATAGATGGTATGCCAATCATCCATTTGTCTAAGATTACATTCTTTAGAATAAAAATTTAAAAACAAATAAACAGAAAGTTTTTTTTTAAATCATGATTTGCATCAACAAGTGGATTAAAAAAAAACAGAGACAATCTTGTTTCATTAAATAATTTTGCAATCATACATCGTGATCGAGATCATGCTTTTCGATTATATATGTTTGTTCTTTAAATGAACTAAATCATTCGAAGTAAACAATAAATTTAAATTTCGCAAATAATAATAGTCAAGATTTATAATACTCTACAGATTGAATACTTCTACGTATGATACAAACCCTCACTCAACTACGTTATGATTTGATCCCATTATATCCAGTCATATGATTTAATAGTTTATGTCTTTGTTTCGATGCTTTGGATTAAAATAAGTATGTGTAATATAGAATGAATATATAAGTTTGTTTTCTTTGACTGTATTTTTTTATTGGATATAAAAAAATATGAGTACTATTGCATCATGTGGTATACACTCGTAAGAAATTCGTCAGATGATTTTATTTTTGTAGAGAAGTGACGAAAAACTAATAGAATGAAGAATAAGAGTATGTGCCATTATGACTTCATATAAAACTGATATCTTCGAGAAAAATAAATGAGAATTTATTGACGATACTTTTCTTTTTCTTATTCTAGATAATGACAAGCATTTTCTCTCGAGTTCGTCTCTGTTTTATTCGTCATGGAGAATCAGAAGCTAATATACAAACAATTTATATAGGTGGTCAAACTGTTTCATGTCCATTAACTGAAAAAGGACAAGAACAAGCTTTTCTATTAGGCAAACGTTTACAATATGAAAATATGAAATTTGATTATTATTTCTGTTCAACAGCTGTTCGAGCAAAACAAACAGCAGATATTGCTTTAGAAACAATGAATATTGATAAGTCAAAATTAATTCTATCAACTGAACTTTTAGAACAATCACAAGGATCATGGGAAGGATTATATCGTCGAGAATGTTATACAGATGAAATTATGCAAAAAATGAAAGAATTACATATAGATTTTTCTAGTCCAGATGGTGAATCAATACGAATGGTACAAAAACGAGCTATTGCATTTTTAGAACCTTATATTGAACAAGCTAAAAAACAAAGTATAGAAGAAAATCGAGAAATATCAATTATTATTTTTACACATGCGAATTTAATTCGAGCTGTAATACAATATTATACTGAAAGTAATCCAAAATATACATGGCTTATTGGACAATATAATACATCAATAAGTGAAATTCTTTTTAATCAACATGGAATATCATTAGTTAAAGTTAATGATATTGGTCATTTAAAGTTTTTAATACCAGAATCATCAGAAAATAATTAAGATAACTACTTATGAACAAATATCAATAAAGCTAAATATTTTCTTTTTTTCTAATAATAAATGGAAGAAACTTCGATTCTTTGCAGAACTTCTTAACATTCTATGTATAATCTATTTAAAACAACATTTTAAACATTTATTATGAATTAAAAATAAAAAAAACATGACAAAAGATGCAACAAAAACTAATAGACGTAATAATTGATATCAGTAATTTTAAGAATGCGCATTCATATAAAAGATCTTTCTTATATTAGATCACGATTCCATGAAATAATATTGCATAGATATTAGAATTAATTCATTCAATCAAATTTTAACACAATCATTTTTTCAACGTAATTCAAATAGAATTTTCCATGGAAGAGGAGTTTAATTAGTATCAACAATAGCCGTCTATTTTTTATTTTTTCGTTCATGAAAATAATTCAATATGTTTATTTTCACAATCTATTGTTAATTGAACTATTTCGTTTGTTTTAATTTCATCATCTTACAATCGTTCCATTATAGTATTTTTAATAGGTCTTCCATGATGACATATTTCCATATCATTAAACTAACCGACAAGAACAGGGCATGGATCTCTGCTTAGGCCACATCCACACCCTTAGAACAAAAGATCGATGAGCGTCCGTTTAGTGCTAATATATATATTTGGGTTGGATGGGACTGAATAATCAAGATACGCCATTAATTATTCAACAAGCGATGTGCGCGACTCTCATTAGAAAATAACCGATTCACATCGGAGGGACTTCTCCTATCGATCAACGAACTTATCAAAGAGAAGAACACATCTTTGTCGTGGTTTGACCTCTCTTCAAACACAGAAATAAGAAATGATGAATGCCGACACTTAGTTCAACTACTTCAAAATCAAAATCGAGCAATTAAATATCTTGTGCTGCAGAATATTGAAATGACAGATGCTGGCTTAGAATTTCTTATATAAGCGCTTCGTGTAAATGTGTGCCTAGAGGAACTGAATATCTCGTGGAACAAGTTGGTCACAGATAACTGTCTCTAACATCTCATTACGATGCTAGAAAAAAATCATACTTTAAAAACACTTCAACTGTCGCTTTTCTCAAGTAGGCAGACATCAACTAGATAGGACTGCCACAACGAAGAATATATCATATGACTTCACTCTTATATTATGACATATGAACAAGTGTTTTGAATAAATCAGTTCAATCATTTCATTCTGGATGCTAATATCAATGACTTGTTTCTTTATTATTCACTACATTTTTTAAAATTTATTTTTGTTTACCGATGTATAGCGAAATTTCTTTACAAATGATAAATTTTTCTCTCAATTTGACTTGATTATTTGAAGATAGTCGCTATGATTAGAACATTAGTTATGTAAACTTAGTACTATAAAAATTGAAACAGTAACTATAATTTTATTTCATCAACTTCGTAAAATACGACCTTTCGATATCTAACTGATCTTTATCAAGAAGTAAATCACGGACTACATTAGGAAAATATTGAAAATTAAATTATTTGTTGTGATATCTTAGGCTTCAATTATTGTTGGACTCTACATATAATTTTCTGTACTTCTTCGTGATTTAATTCTTGATATGATCATTTTGATGATCGAAACGTTGAATTTTAATATAATATTAATGAAATAAAATAAAAATCACGATATTTTAACTTTTATTGTACTATTATATCACCATTTATACTTAATTATTGAAAAGTAAAACTTGACGGAATTACTTCTACTTCAAATAAAATGTGAGATTCGTATTCATCGCTCTGAGAATCAAAAAATAGATTTAACAAGTGCGAAAACTTCGTAAGAACTCAAGAATAGCTGACATTGAATGTCTTAGCCGAGTGTAAGTGTGCATGTGGGTGTGAATTGCGGACGTAGGTAAAGTTAGCACCATATTCGAGTTTTTTCCGTCCGGATTCGCTTTTCGACTTGGGTTGGCTCTCTACTTGGTTGGGTTATGTGCAGAATTAAATTCTGCATCGAATAGTATCATTTTTGACTGGGGTCATCGAGCAAAAAACTCACTTATACTCAAAATAGTGACTTTTCCAAAAGTATTTCGCTCTCTCACTTGAATTGGCTCTACAGATGGTTGGGTTGCGCTCAGAATTCAATTCTGCGTCGAATGATACTAATTTCAACTAGGGTTGTCGGGCAAAAAAAAAGGATGACGGTAACAGTGTCAGGTCGAAATTTCCTGTCCTCGTTCACTCTCACCTGTCGATTTTTTCCGACAACCCTAGTCAAAATTAGTATCATTCGACGCAGAATTCAATTCTGAACCCAACTCAACCATTTGTAGAGCCTACCCAAGTCGAAAAGCGAATCCGGACGGAAAAAACTCGAATATGGTGCTAACTTTACCTACGTGAATTGCGGTTGTGGAGCTTGCGTATGACTAAAGAAGAGACACCGACTTTCACCTGTACATCCACACTGTTCCATTCAGAAAAACAAAAATGATGCGTTAGTCGTGTTACGTTAGCTCAATGGTAAGAGCAGTGGTCCGGTTAACCAGCTATCATGTCTTGGGTTCGATTCCCAAACGAAGCATATCATTTTTGTTTTTCTGAATGAAAAATTCAAACATCGAAAGATAAAAGGAAGAAAAATTACATCATATAAAACATGTATAACTCCTATCTAATATCTAATAATTGATAAGATAATCTAGTAGAGATCAGATGTGAATGAACTTTAATTTTTTTTTTTGACATTGACGATGTAATGACATAATGAAATGTTTTTACTCTCTTTTGATACATAGTATGTTGACGAAATCAACCAATAAAAAAGTCTTCTGAATAATGCTGGCACACAAACACTTTAAACCGAATTTCATTCTATTTTTAAGAAATATTTTAACAATTCAACGACATTTTATATCAATTGATGACTCTTATGGTGTGTTGATGCAATCCAGATATACTTTAGCGACACAAAAAATATGAGTAACCGTGATGCCATGCCATTACCCACTCTATTCGCTTATATGTTCTTATTAGGTTTCGTATGTCAATCATCATTTATTGATGTACGTCAAATTTTGTTTCAAATATTATTAACTTTATTCTTAACGTCATACAACACTTCAATTCACCAATGAATCATCCGTAAGAAGATGCCTGATGACCGCCAAATTTACAGAATCAGAACATCGATTACTTACTTGCAATGTCTCCAACATACATTTTCTCTTATCGTATATAAATAGACGTTTGCTTTCTTTTACAATGTTATAAATCATTCTTTCTTCACTTGAGAGAAAACTTCTCCTTATAACTCTATTGTAAGAATTTCTTCAAAGTTGATATCGAGCTTATTTATATCTTAAAATATCTTCATTCTTCGTCGGATGCTTATGATAGATTTGCATCAAATAAAGATTTCTGTTATTCAAAACAAAATCCACTATGAGTAATATCCGTCGTCTTTTTATTGTTTCTTCTATATTTTGTTTTGGTAAGACTTTCATTTTTTTTATTGATTCGCTCGAAAATTTAGAACAATGAGTAATCGACTGTTACAGAAATCAATGTCTATCACGTAGACTTATCATATTTGATAATAGAACTTAATTAAGTTAGTATGGTTCTTAGAAAAATATTGTAATTCGTTACAATTTAGTCTTCGTGTTTCTCAGTAACATGCGCATTAACTTTTCACTAATGTCTATATGAAGATCTTTTCTTATCATTTTGTTAATTGCTTACTCCATGACACAGATGAAAAATGATCTTCAGAAGAGACAAAATAAAATGATCTTGTAGTTGTTTCTGATCATAAATATAAGATTATAATATTTAATATAGTCTGAGGAAATCCTATCGATAAAATTAATTTCCGTTCAAAAGCAGTCAATTTTGTGAGAACCGTCAAAATGGAGATAAATACAAAAGCAAAATAGTCCATCGTCTCCTCTTTCAAAATCAATAAAAAATTTTCCTAAAATCTCCAAATTTTCTCGAAATATTTCAGAATTTCAGGGAACCCAGTTTTTTGAAGTATCGAAAACCCTTTTTCCTTTTTAGTCATTTTTTTGTTTTCTCGTACGTGCATTCTAAATTTCTCTTTCATTGTTCGTCCAATGTATTAATATTTTGTTTTCATTAGAACGAGCATGTCAAGATGCAGGGCACTACGACGCCCTTTTTTTTGCAATAGTTCTTTTCTTTAGTCAATATAAAGTTCGTAATATAGTGTTTTTTAACATTTTTTGATAAATTTTTTAGTCGTTTAACTTGTGACTTCTTTTTTTCGATTAAAAAGAAGGTTTTTCAAAAAAAAGAACGCCATAGTGCTATGCATCTTGACATGCTCTTTCCAATAAAAACGAAATTAACATATAAGACGAACCGTTAGAGAGAAATTTGGGTTGCTAAATTAGCTATTTTTCGACTTTGTTTGATGAATATTTCCCTTAACTGAAATAGTTTTGAGTTGAGAATTTTATCAGAGACTTCCCTTAATGCCTCAGCATATCCTCACTGCTGATTCTAACTTTCCTGGATCAAGATCGATTTTTGAGAGAGAAAATACCTTAAATTGTGATCTTTCTTTTCTTCTTATAATCATATTAAGTTATTATCACAGATAAATCGATTTCTTATTCTAGACTTAGAATAATCTAGGAGATATGGCGAGTGCATACAATAATAATGAAATTTCTGGTGATATTTCATCAGAAAATATGCACAATGCATCATGTGATGGATGTAATTCAACAAAAATCTATAGTGATCGGTATAGATGTTTACAATGTGTTGACTATGATCTATGCGGTAATTGTTTTGAAGAACGACGTCAAACCAAAGAGCATCTTAGTGGCCATGCAATGGCACATCTCAAAATTCCCAAAGAATTGTTTGGTCAACCGATCCGTCATACTGATGAGATAACTCTTACAAAACTTCACGAGCTTCTAGCTGGTAAACGTCACGATAACATATGCAACGGTTGTAGCACACAGATTGTTGGCATTCGATTCAAATGTGATACTTGTTATAATTATAATCTATGTTTTCAATGCATGAAACAACGAATAATCAAAGAACCGCATGAGGACAGTCATCCATTAGTAGCAACCAGCAATCAAAGTCTGATGAAAATCGATATCAATGACATTCGTAAACTAGATGTACTTGGTGAAGGAGGATTTGGTATATTGATCTATGTTTTCTATCTTTATTAATTTCTATCGAAAAATTCTCATTCATTTAGGTCAAGTTTGTAAAGCACAATGGTTATCACATAATCGTCAAGTAGCTTGTAAAGTAATTCGAGTGACACCACAACGACGTCACTTGGAAGAGAGTTTTCGCAGAGAATTAGCTGCCTATGTCGAATTATCAGGGGCATTTATTCTTAAAACATTCGGTTATGGCGATCGAATGCTAGAAAATGGAGTCAAAGAATGTTATTTGATTACTGAATTGATGCATCGTGGTAGTTTGAGCAATGTTATTCATAATAGAAATGAGAAAATCTCACTTCGACGTAAACTTTCTATGGCCTGTCATATTGCTAGTGGCATGCGTAAATTACATGGACACTCAATGATTCATCGGGATATTCGTCCTGATAACATTCTTGTGTCGAATAATTTCGTAGCAAAGATCGGTGACATGGGTATTGCAAATCTATTCAATCCAGACGAACGTCATACATTAATTGGTTGTTTGCCTTTCATGCCACCGGAATTTTATCGGTCAGTAAAAAATCTAACTCAATTTGATTTGCTTTGACTAACTTTTTAATTGTTACTATTCTGTTTATTATAGAGGAGATGGTCAATATGATCAATCACTAGATGTGTTTACTTATGGATTGACATTGAATGAACTATTTACAGAGAAAACTCATCGATTTAATCAATCGACAAAACGAGTTGAGTTAATCGAACAAAGTCCAATTTTCACGAATTATATTCTTAAATGTATTCGAGATGAATCGACTCGCCGACCAACAGCTGTCGAACTGGAAAATACTCTTCATAAGTGTCGACAAGCAGCCGATCGATATATCAAAGAAAAGTGTCCCGATTATACAAAAGAAACAATAGGAAAAAAAGATAATATTTTCATGGGTTTCTATCATGAATATCGTAAGAAGGGAAAAGTCGAACCAAAACCGATTTTTCCACCACCACCATCACCGAAATCACACGTAAATTTGGATCTAATTCAACAACTTTTCGAAGATATGATGAAACAGTTCAATAATGTTCATGGACAAGATGCCGATTGTAAAAAAGATGATCCTAAGGTTGTGAAATTAAAAAAACATCTGGATAATCCGAATCCCGTCATTGTTATTGAGCCTGCAAAAAAACATCGACGGGCGGCAACACCATCATCACATGTTCATCGAGTTGATCAAGAAAATATTGAAGACATTTTTGGTGCCGTAAAGCATCGACGAGCACGGACGCCCAATCCAAGATCTCCTCGTCTCGGATCACCAGATTTTAATCAGATCATACGAATATGCAAATAGAGATTCAATAACAGCACAACAAAATCACCAAATTGTTTTTACATTTTTCAGAAAATCATTTCTTATTTACTATCATAAGTTTATAATATAGATATAAGCGTGCATGTTTATTTGTCACTCTATTCTTGATGTATTTCTGCATCGTACAAGCAAATCCAACCAAACTTTTCAGGAATTTTTCTCTCATCCAGGAGAAGGTCAATGCCTATTTTCATTATTCTAAAAGAATTGATCCTCCAAAATATTCTGTACTAAAGAAGTGCTATTGAATAGCACTTTCTAAATGCACAGAAAACATGGAACTCTAGATGGTCGAAGACTATAGATTCGAATCTGGGATCTATTTACCTAAAAATTTGATCAATTGCCGGAAACCAATAGGAAAATAGACGAAGACACCTATCCTTTCGGAAAAATGATGAGACAGGAAATTTTAGACCTGATAAGTTGGAATCTAACTCCTAGGAGAGCTGACAAAACCACTCATACTATCAAGAACATGGTATGGCAAGGTATTTTAGACATAAAAAATTCGAATTTCCAGTGCAATCATCTCGATGACTTTATGATTAGTAGAGAATCAACAGCCACCGGACTTTGGATAAATAAGTATCACTGAACGATCATAAGAAGGACGTTAGAAATCGGACATCTGTTGACCACGATATACCTTACTGAACAATTGATAGCTTAATTAGGTGAGGTATGTTAATTCATTGTAGATTCCTAGACAACGCCGAGTACTTCTGCTAGTACTAATAACGACTTGGACGAGCGTAACGCGATGACGAAAAAAAGAACAAAAGTTTGAGGGTGATGCATGTTTTCTTCATGTTCCTGAGAATGTGTGATGTACTGAAAGAAATGTTCTACACATGTTTTGTAGCCGACAGTTTGAGGCATCTAAGAAAATACAAAATTCTTTAGACAGATTTCTAATTTTGAAGAAGAATCAGTTTAATTAACGTAACCCAATGACTAGGACTTGAGGGTCTGTGGGTGGGTGTGGGTGTGGG